GGAATTATGCAGACTACACCTTGTCATGGCCTTTTCGTCACAAAAATCGCCATTTCTTTACCTCACAACTTTTTCTCAATATTATTTCCACTGCGTTTACTCATCGTCTTTGAAATTGTCGTAGACGATACCTCTTAAATACAACAAAGGGTATTTCCGGTTTTTCTTCTCAATGATGTCAACATCTTGATTTTATACTCATTCTGGACCAGTGTAAACATACGTTGATTTTAGCGTTATTCTCAATAAGCGCACGTGCTCCTACTTCGTTATTCTTCTGTGCAGCATGATGCATTGGGGTCAACCCAAATTTGTCAGGGATGTCCACGTCTCTAGAATGAGAAACATTTTTGAGTAAGTCACTTTAATGCTGGTCTACACTTACGCTCCATATTTTACCAAGAGATTGATAATGGCAGTACAGGAGTCGATGTCGTCGGGAATTTGATCTGTTTCTAGCAAAGGCTGATAGCGTCGTGCCGATGAATCATTAATTCTTGACACTTCTCTGTCTGTAGCAGTCTGAGTTACACAGACATACTATTTCAATTTAAGCCTAGAACCTTCTCGCTTGCTCGCTAGTTTTCGTCCTAGCCGACCGTATTTGGCTACCATATGCAAAGGCGCATACCCAGGACACCTCTCATTATCGGCTTTTTTGTCTACAATTGCTCCTCGTTTCAGCAACATCTCCACGACTTTTGTGTGTCCATACTTGGACGCGTAATGAAGGGGAGTCATCTGAAACCAACATATCAGCAGCTTTTTGTTAGACTGAGATTCGCGAGTAGACCAGATTTGAGGTTTTTCTGCTGGTGACAAGATTTCCGTTTTTCCTTACAACGCTCACCTGTCTTGAATTGATACAGCTGACCGTTTGCTGCGAAGGAGTGCAGAAGTATAATACAAAGTAAAACAACTTTGCTTTCAATTTTCCAGAGACTTTAACCTTAGTCATATGCTAGTCAACATAACTTGAGCCCGCTCTCTTTTGTTCATCTGTTGAGAAAAAATGGAAACTATGCCCCCTATCTTAGTTTTTGAAGGATACCCATCAAAAACTTTAAAAAGTATTCATAAATCTATCTTAGTTTCCCAAATATTGCTAACATTAACTGCAGCACTTTCAGAAAAGAAGTGAAGCAATTGATGTACGTCCTGTCATTTCGATTGTATATCATAATAGCACTTTGTATATTTTTCTTCAGCGCAATAACTACTGCAATAAAAATCTCTTTGGAATTTCAGAAAATAAAAAAAA